CAAACATCCTCACTTGAAAACATAACATCCCTACCAAATTTTAAGTGTTCTATGGGGCACAAACATATGTATACATTATTGTTAGAACCCTTTTAATAATAATGTATACATATTCAATGTTTTATTAAATACAAAACTGCACCTCCTGTTTTTTTTAACTTTACAAATATTACTGCATCAAAGAAGACAGTTTTACATTTATTTACAACTTTGTATTCAAGACAAGGAGCAGAAACACACCATTCTATGGCATGTTTAAAACTTCAATTAGGATAATGTCTTAAATCTCAAAATATACTTCATTATGAAAAGCAGTGCAAAAAGAACCAGCAATTGATGCTGTGAATCAATACATTTGTTCATAAATAGTAAATGTGCCCTCTCTGAGTAGTTAAAACAAAGAATAAAACACTGTTATATTAAACATCACAAATTCTCTGTCATCTTTCATCTGATTGTGAAATCTCAAATGCCATATGCTATCATCAGTAGTCACCTTTGCCTTAAAATATCCTTCTGCTAGTCAATACCTATTATGATTAGGATATGAGGTATCTTCCCAAAACTCTTGTATTAATGCAGGAATGTGGAATGTTTGGAATATGCTGCACTAACTGGGTGGTAACTCTAGGCAGGTGGGGAATGGCTAGAAATAGTGGGTCACTGGGCATGTCCCCTAGAAGGTGCATCTTCCCTGTGGCTCCTCCCCATTTCCCTTTCTCCTTCTGATTCCTGCCTGCCATGAGCATCTTTCCTCCACCATGCCTCCACCGCGATGTTCTGCCTCACCTGGGGCCCAGAGCAATGTAGCAGGTCAACCATGGACTGAACCAAATACATTTTCCTCCTCTAGATTATTCTTGTCAGATGTTTGGTTCACAGCAATGCAAACCCTGACTAAAACAAAACCCTTGCAGTTGCTGAAACAAGAAAATAAGGAAACTGATCAAACAGTCAAAAAGCCCAGAAGTGCACTTCAGCAAACTCTGTACATAGGAGCACCAACTTCATCTTTCTCTGACTTCTACCCTTTGGGGATGACCATGGCCGACTTGAGCTTAGTGGGAAGAGAGTCTCCTTCCTTGCAGTTTTCCTCTGCAAACCTGAACTTTGGGGATCCCAGGATGTGGTGGCGTCTTGATGCCCTCCCTTCGCCCTCACTTCCACACACAGCACTGTTGCTCTCACCTCCCCACCTTATCCCACTCTTCTGAAGCATTCGGTAACAGATTCTTCCATCAGCTCTTATTCTACCTTTATGACATCCTCTCCAGCTATTCCCCTGGGAACTTCCCTTCACTAGGGGAGTGGAATTTTAGTACTTTCAATCTTGAAAATTTTAAGATGTGTAATTTCCTTGCTTAAGACTCTCTAGTGGATTTCCCTCCAGCTTGCTTAAAATGAAATCTGCAATGTTGGCATGGTCCGTCGGTCCTCCTGGCGCTGGCTTTCACCTCTGCAGCTCCTCCCCACCGTTTCCCTCCTTCTCTCGGTTCCAGCAACAGTAGTTTTCTTGCTACCTCCTAAAAACATGCCCAGAATGCTCAGGGTCTTTCCCTTTCTAGTCTTTGCATATGCTACATAATACACACACACACACACACACACACACACACACACACACACAATATGGTTAGGTTGTCTCCCAGAAGCTCTTGTATCAATGCAGGAATGTGGAATGTTTGGAATGTGAGAACTATAGCATCATCAGTCCATGTCATGTCAGTAATAGATGTATAGTAAATAAATAGCAATAAATACACACCACACAATGTATAATATTTACATAAATATATGTTATCATTATGTGTTATATAATTATATATATATGTGTGTGTGTTTATATACACAACATGTATCTACATCTATTTATCTATCTATCTATCTATCTATCATCTATCTATCTATCTATATAGAACTCTGCTTATAGTGTTCATGATTGTATCCCCAGTGATTTGACCAGTATCTGGACACAGTGGGCACTCACATATCTCCTGATTGAGTGAGAGAATAAGTGAATGGGTAAATAAATGAAGGAATCATTTTAGCTGAAGTGCTATAATTGAGTCTCAGCAAATTAGGTGCCTACCCTTGTGCTAGGGAGACATGGCCACTGCTCCAGACTCACATGGATTAAGAGTAAAATATCAAGAGTGAAATTTTAAAAGGGAAAATCCTGGTGCTACTCAAAGAAAAAGAAGCTGGAGGCATTCACCATGTACTCTCACTTCCCTTTCTCTGTCATGAATGCCTGTACAGCAGTACCTTGCAATACTTTGGTCTTCTCTCCTACTATCGTCTTGCTATTGATTCTAATACCATATCTATCTTTTATTTTCCTTTTTGCTCCTACTATCACATTCACACTGGCCTACAATTCCTTTTGTGAGTCCTCTTGTCCCCATTATGATCTCCCAATACCCACAATCTCAGAAATGAATTTTATTGTCATGTATTTGAAAAAATAAAAAAAAATGCATGGCAAATTATGTTCTCCCTATTTAGAGAAGTGTGATTTTCCAGCATGGGTACCTGTTGAGTCAGCTATATGTACTCTTATTGCCAACTCCCAAGGACTCTTTGGTTCATGCTTTCAGAGAGTTCACAATCAATTCTAAAACGGATTTTACAAATAAGCTCATTGAGTCTTTGGGGAAGACTATATGGGAGATTAGGTCTATATGCGAAGAAAGATAAAGCGTTTTAAGGCTTAGAGAATTTACCTGCACAGAGTAAAATTTCAGCATGACTGGAACTAGACTCTGTGTCTTCAATCTGTGGTTTGAGTTGCCTCTTCCTGCTTTACCTGTTCGCTACATCCCACTCGATCCCTCAAGCTCTACTCTTCATGCCCATGCAGCTGAGCTCCAACTCTCTGTAGAGTCGGCCTGATTACACAGCCAACACAGAGCTCCAAATGTTAGTGAAGTCACTAGTTACATCATGCACATCTGTAGTTCCTTTTAACACTGACTTTTGCAAGATCTTTCATATTTTATTTTAGGCCTCAGACAATTACATGTCTCAGGAACAGAATCCTAAAGGAGCATGCTGTTGTTTTTAATGTTACTATTAAATTTAGTAATATGCTAAGCATATCATGCATTTTCAACGTAAATTGATAACTTTTGTTAAATATTATTTAGAATGATAAGTTTTGAATTAAACCATATGCAATCATGAATTGAACTCAGATGATTTTGGTTAGTGATTCTTGTTCTTGCCTTTGAAGTCAGCACACTCAATAGAGATTAAAATATGGCTATGGATGATTCAGTTTGTGGAATCTTTGTAAGCTGGAAATTTGTTAGGAAAAGACATAGAAAAAAATAAAAATATTTTATAAAATGTGGGCTATTTTAGGACTAATTTTGTCAGCAAGATGCCAAGGGGTTTCTCTCTTAAGTGTCAAAATTCAAGACCTACTGTTCAAATAGTTCTGTCTGGGGAAGGACTGAAGAAAGGCAAGGCTATTTCTAAGATATGGAAGTAACATGCAACATGTCAGAAAAAAAAAGAAGGTGTCTACAGGAGTCTTCATGGAAAAGCACCCTTATCTTTAACATAACTGCCATACCATAGACTAAACACTTCCCATTTTGTAGACTATTGGAAGCATATAAAGGTTATACAAAATCATTTCAGCCTTGAGGAATATTTCAATGCACTCCTTATAATTACTAGGCCTATACCATACACAAGTATGACTGGCAAGTGCTGCAAATTGGGAAGTAAATCTCACATGAAAAATTTGCTTTTCTGGTTTTGTCTTGCAATCCAGAGCATTCAGGTTCAAAGTTTTTCTGGACTTTTTATCAAAAGAATCTCTAATTATTTCTTATTCATATTTTATCTTTAAAAATATTAAATTTTTAAAAGGTAAAACTGGTTTTCTATACAAGAAAACTCAGTTCCAGGGGTTGAGAGTTCAACAGACCAGCATTGTAATGTGTAATCACCCGCGTAAAATCTTGTTATTTTAAATCTTTATTTATATGTTTAAGAGATAATTTAAAGAAAACTAAGTGAGGATCCCATGCTGAAGCCAGCATTAACCAACTGAAGTAATCTATTATAGGGGAAGCTAAGACGCATCTATGGAGTTAAAATAGTTGGTTAGCATGAGTTTTCATTTATTTGACTTGAGTCTTGTGAACTACAATGGCCACTTGCCTTAAATCTTCCTTGGTTTATGATTTAATACTATGATTTTCATGTTATTAGATTGTAATCTTTGTGAGGGCAGAGTATAAGGTTCCACACATCCCTGTGTGCCCTGTATGATCTTGCTCCATATCTGTTAGCTACTAGATGTCTTAGCAGTGCTTGTGGAAAGGATGCTATCTATGCTCCCAAGGGAACCCATTTATCCCCTGCTGGCGAAAGAAAAGCTAATATGAACTTTCCACATCAGGTAAGATCCATGGAACATTACTATTTTGACAGAAGCTACTATAATGAGAAAAATGAAATAAACATGGTTCTGACTCACTGAACAAATCCTATAAATATGTCTATTCCAATAAAAGTTAGAAAACCTAGACCTCTTCACACGTTCAACTGTCCTTCTCCTACCTTATGTTGAAATTATGTCATCTTCAGATCTAGGATGGGCACAGGAAGGTCATTTTCTTAAAGGAACAAACATGGTTGAATAGATTCTATTTTTAAAAAAATATATATTGTGTAATTTAAAAGCAAAATATTGAAACTCAATTTAAATATTTATTGATGATACCGGAGGGCCACAGAGTGTTTTATTCTACAGGAATATATTTGTATATATAAAAGGACCCAGGGTAGCCTTGGCCCATTTATCATTTAAAACAGCTTGTTTTCTAATAAGAGAAGAGTTTTCTTAAAAAAAAATCTAATTGTTTATCATGTAAGAATACGACCCTGTGTGGCTGGATATGGGAATTTGAGCTTCTCTTAGTACATGGAGGATGGGGGTTTCTAAAGTATTTCCACACGTTTCTAAATCTTAATTCCTTTCCTAGGCATTTCCTGGAAACACCAACTCGGACAGCGTGGTCCGGCATGACCTGCAGCATCCCGTGGTGGCCCGCTATGTGCGCATGGTGCCCCTGGACTGGAACGGAGAGGGCCGCATCGGGCTCCGCGTGGAGGTGTACGGCTGCGCCTACTGTGAGTCCCCGTGCCCACGGGTGGGGTTGCTCCCCCACCCTGAGAGCGCCATCTGGCTCGCATTAACTGTTTCCTATTGCGTCCTCTGAAAATAAACTAAAAATGCTCGTTTTCCACTGTAGCAACAAACATCTTGCACACACATGTAAGAATACCATGATGTAAAGGACTTAGAAAGTGACTTTTGTTCCGTGGTCCAAAACAACCAAGCTTATTAATTAAGTCGTCTGTAGTCTTATGAAATATTTAAAAGGAGAAAACCTCTGCTCGTACCCACCTCTGTGGCTCTTAGAGAAGAGTGTGGGATCCATGCTGAAGAATTTTCTTACATTCCACCAAATCTGAGCTGTGGCCCTTCCAATTTTTACGTCGATTAGTTTATTTCCCTTTTTTTCAAATCTATATGTTTTTCACCCAAAGAGTTTGTTTTCACTTAATCTTGTTTTAACTCTCTCCTATTTCTAATAAATTTCTTTTTAACATTTTAAATGTCTGAATACTTGATACCTGTTCCCAATGATGTCAGTATATGGATGTGGGGTACTGTGATTCTGCTATCTGTTGTCTCTGATGATTTTTGTTCATAGTGTAGCCATCGCCCTTTTTCCAGGGGTATGTAGCAAGACCCTCTGTGCGTGCCTGAAGCCATCGGTGGTAACGAACCCCAACCAGATAGACAGATTTTTCCTATGCATACCTACTTATGGTAAAAGTTTAATTTATTAATTGGACATAGAGATTCATGACAATAAATATTAAGGAAATAGAATGATAACAATATACTGTAAAAAAGTTATTCAAACTTACGAATCTGTTGTTTCTGGAATTTAATATTTAATATTTTCAACTTGGGTTGTTGAAACTACACAAAAGCACTAAACAAATGAGGGAGAGGCTACTGTATTTGATTTCCTCTTCCTCGTTTATGTCCTTCCTCTTCTCTCTCACCCACTCTTTTTCCCACACCTCTCCTTCTTTCTTACCCCCTCTTCTTCCTTTTATCCTCCAATTTATTCCCGTCCACAGTCTTCTGCGTATCCATCTTGACTGACCTCAAGTTTGTCAAAACTCTATCTGAGGAACTTCTTTAAGAACAAAACTGGTGCTAGATTCTTCTAGGGAGGAGTTTTTTCTTTGCTTATTTTCTTCCTGTGAAGGCAATACCAACCCCAAATTAAAAATTGCTTACATTTCTTGAAGCCACTAGAAAACGTAAAGTCAGTCTGTAAAAACATTACTTGCAAACACTGGCTTCATATTATGAATTTTCCAGTAAAATATTTTCTTCTGCTCCCAGGAAATATCTTTTTCCCTGTTCTGCTGATCAGCCAGGGAAGGAAAAATATTGGGTAGGAGCAGGGCAGGGAATTGGGATATCAAGATTTTTGCAAGGATTTTCTTATTAGATTTTTTACTACCAATTCTTACAGACTCATAAACACAGAAGTTCACTATAACCAGAAAATGGAAAACTCTTCTATTTCACAAGGTTTTTAAAACTAAGGGAACACAACATTCTATATAAATAATACATAAAGCCATAATATCTATGAGAATTTAGTTACAGAGATTGGCAAAATAATGGTACTGAATAATCTTTTATTAATTCATAGGCAAAATGATGATGTGCAAACTTAGCAGATTATAATAAAAGGGTCATGGGTATTATCTAAAAATTCCATAGGTGTTCATTTTATAATGAACATTATAATAGCAGATATAACACATATTTCTTCAGAAGAATGTGGCTTTTCAAGAGGAAGTTTTAGGTCTTTGGGGAAAACCCAAAAAGAGCCCTGGCAATAGATGAGGATCCTCACTGTCATGGGGCTGGGCGCTCATGGACACAGAGCACTATCTCTCTGCATATTCTGGCTCTCAGCATCATGGGGTGGCCAGGGCGAGACATGGTGTTTTATCTGCATGACACCTGTCCTAAGAAACATGTTCAGCTTTCAAGTCATGAAAAAGATGGAAACCATGACATATGGGACTGTTTATTAAGAATTAATTATTGGCTACATTTCAAGTGTCATGAAATATGCTAAATATCAGTAACAGCACAGGGAATAAGAAAACCTTGGTCTTTGGGAGACAAATTTATATAGTTAATCTAGGGGTATTAATTATGATAAAACAGTGACAGTTAAAATTTGCCCATGGGCACAGAGCCTGGTGATGGGACCAAAAGGAAAGCCAGGTGGTCTGGGACAGTGCTCCAGCTCACTGTTTCTGTTCCCAAGCCCTAAATCCAGCAAAGTGGGTACCCACCTGACCATCCCCAGGGCAACTACAGGCTCACACAGCTGCCAGGGGCCCCGATCACGCCCAGTTCCTACTATTTCTTGAAGATAAAACTTCTTTAGTGCTATATTATTATAAATTATCTTTTATTTCTCTTATTTCACACAGATGAAATGATAAAATATGCATTATTTTGTATCTTATTTCTTTTCTACAAATATTTATGAGACATATCCATGTTGTTGTATAAAAAATATTAGTTTATTTTCATTAATATTATCCCTTTGGGTGAATATTTTGCCATAATTTGTTCATTTCATATTGGTGAACATTAGAGTTCTTTTCAGTTTGGGGCTATTTTTATAGAATTACTATGAATTTTTCTATAGAATTGTTACAAATGTTAGAAAAGGTATTTAGCAAATAGCATATATATAATATATATATTATATATATATAAAATTTTTCTATAGAATTGTTACAAATGTTAGAAAAGTTATTAGCCGATAGCGTGTGTGTATATATATATATATATATTTTTCAAACTTTGCCACGAATAACACATTTTTTATAAAGTGGTTGTATTGATTCAGATTCTCACAATGCATAAGAATACCTGTTGCTCCAAGGATTCAGGCATTTGGTATTGTTTTAAAGTTTACCCATTGTAGTGGGAGACTTGAAATATGACAATGTGCTCTATAATCACTGCAAGTGGTTTTGTAAAATGAAGAGTGAATGCTATTATGGGTTTTTCCCATCAAGACTAAGTTTTGAAAGTCTCCAGATTGGAAGGGTAAATAACTGAAACAAAATAGGAAGCCAGATATTTCTAGTGTATAAATCTTTCTGGAGGAAAAAAAATCATACAGATTTGGAAAACTATATTAATATTTGTACCAATAGATACCAGTGGAGTACATGATAAATTGACATCCTAAAATAAAAAAGAAATTGAAAGATAACATTGTAGTAGGCTAGACAGTGTCTTCTAAGACATTGGGACCTAATTCTTGTGTAACAGAGTGCATAAGTGTGACTAAGAGTCTCACCATGGCTTGAACAGCCTGCGTTTTCCAGGGGGGCTTCAAATTCCATTACTTATATCCTGATAAGAAATAGGCAGGAAAGGAGGAGGCTGTTACTTCAAGGCAGAGACTGGGGTGAAATGGCTACAAACCAAGGGATGTGGGCAGCCACCAGGAGCAGGAAGAGAAAGGAGCAGAGTCTGCCTTGAATCCCCCAGAGGGAGCGTGGACCTGATTTGGGATTTCTGGCCCCAGAACTGTGAGAAAACATTTCTGTTGTTTCCATCCACCAAGTTCTTGGTAGTTTTTTATAGCAGCAGTAGGAAATGAATACAGCATCAACGTCATGATAGAAAATAAAATTTTGTAAAAACATTAGAAGATGTCCACATGGATGTTCTCCAAAATAAAAAAGATGCAAGTGTTCTCCACCTGCTCTAGCCACTGGCCACAAGTGGCTACTGGGGTTTGATGAATAGCTTAAACAACAAACTGCATTTTTATTTAACTTTAATTTATCTAAATTTGAATTTAAATATTGTAACTACTGGCTAACATAATGGAGTACAATTAAAAGAATCAAAACATATACTTCTTCATATTTTTCTTCCATATCCCTTTGTAATCTAAATAAACTATAACATTTTTTTCTCCAATGGCAGTCTTTAATTTTTTTTCCTTAGTTTGGAAAACAATTTAATCATGCTAGAAACTGTCTTTAGAGTCAATAATGTAAAGCCCAGGCATTTATCTAACCACACAAAATTTACAGATTGGTTTCTTTTTTTGTTTTTAAAAAATGCAAATTGCATTTATCTCTTTTTCAAAAATCATATGTTTACAAAAAGAAAAAAATGTGTTAAATGTATTTATTATGTGCAACTTTTTTAAAATTCACTACAATTTAAATTTATCTCTTATGGAATTCATACTAGAGGGGATGCTTAGGTGACCCTCGATTTTTCTCCAACTGAATCAACTGTTGTCTCAAGGGCTGTCTCTGATGTTTCATGAGAAAAGTAGCCGTGTGTCTTTGAGAGAGGAAATGTGTTGATTTTACATCCTGCCACTTTGATGAATTCATTTATTAGTTCTAGTAGTTTTTTTTGTAGACCCTTTTGGGTCTTCTAGGTATAGAATCATGTCTGTCGTTCGCAAATAGTGATAATTTAAGTTCTTCTTTTCCTATTTTTATGCCTTTAATTTCTTTCGTCTGTCTAATTGCTCTGGCCAGTGTTTCGAGAACTATATTGAAAAGAAGTGGTGAGAGAGGGCATCCCTGTCTTGTTCCAGATTTTAGAGGGAATGTCTTCAATTTTTCTCCATTCAGAATGATGCTAGCCTGAGGCTTAGCATAGATAGTCAAATGTGGGTTAGGTCTGCCCTTCCATTTGCCCTATTCATAAGTAGCAGTGCTGTGTCACTAAGGTCTCAGCAAGGAGAAATGTGGCTTTGATTATTCGGTGGGAGGAGAGATGCATTCCCTCATCTTCCTAGGAGCCCTGTGGAGGTTGATCTGGGATCTATCTGAAACCTGAAGACTAGACAGGGACTGGTACTCCTTTTCCTTCAATGTTTGTCAGAAGTGCTGGGGAGACGGGGTTTGGGGGGCAGGACACGGCTCCCAAGTGAGCCCCATTCTATTTGTGTGCCTCTTGGATGTCACCTTGTGTTTTCTTTCTTTCCTTTATGCATTTCTTCCAAGAGCATTTTTGTCATTTAAGAAAT